CACATGTGGACTGCAGTTGTATTTTTTGTTTTATTCATCTATATTTCCTTTTTTTTACAATTTCTCTTCTCAAAACATTACATCAGGCCTAAATCAAATACATACAGCGTGGTCCTAGAAAATCTTCTAGTTTTGCAATTTCAAAGGTTTTTTTCGAAGGGGTACATTACCTTAGTGAATTCTTCGTTCATTGATCAACCTCGAAAAATGAGATATTATGTCAAAAATACGGTCGTCATTAGAATTTGGCTGTTATCGACCAAACGCGAAGCTCGTAAAAGCTCCCCCGGAACGATTTCTGGTAATGATTGAATTCATAATTGAATGACCATTAGAACGAACGCCGTTTCTATAATAAAGATCAATAATCACTCGATGTGAATATTCTTACCGATCGAATTTGAAGGAAAATTCCGAAAAACTTATAATTTCTCTTATAGACTTCAGAAAATGGTCATTCTGGACCATGGAGTCCACATTGGCTGCAGTCGCGAGTGGACGAAATGCGCGCCGGTCCCTAGCGGCGCTTTCCCGCAAAACGTCATGGTCGTCAATGGGTTAATTTATGTTTTGTTCCGGAGAAGCTCAACTCTCCCGATTATCGAGTCGTAATGCGCCGTGTTCTTCTTCCTTTTTGGCGTCAGAATCAGCAGCAGAACCTCGAATTCATGCAGGGTGATGCCACGATTCACGTCAGTTGGAGCACCCAGGTATATTGGGATATTAGGATTTTTCCAGAAGTGCCCTGGAATGTGAGTTTTCGTGAGTCAATGGGTGGCTGTACCATTAGTGAACGTAGCGTATCACCAGTGACGATTTGTCGCTGCAAAAGCAGCTCGTACTAATTTGGCGTAATACAAAATTTCGGGAAAACTCCCCAAACAACAAGTCTTCCAGACACTATTTTCGGTAAGGGTGGAGAAACAGAAAGTGTGAAATGGATGTTCTGGCGAACCACCTCAAACTACAGTTATCGGCTCTGTCGAAGACAGTTTCTTTCGGAGCAGCCGAAACAAAGTCAGCTGATAATGCAAAGAACTCCTTCAAAAGCTAAGGGCGCGCCGCATTTCTAACATGGTATGGACTGATTAGGAAATTTTCATGGGAGAACCTGTGTAAACCATTAAAACCAGAGACAGTTGTTGTCAAAGGCGACAGCAGATCCCCAAAGCGCCTGCTTGTGCTTAGCAGACTATCCTCCAAAAGTGTGGCGGCTCTGGCTTGGGTGACATCAGGAAAACACCACCGCTTTTCAACGAAAGAAGTATGAAAATGACTCCAAGGACTATCAAAAGGTAGATTTAATGGGCACCCTTTCGCCCTGTATCACTGAACAGTTTGGTAACCGATCGTTCGTCCTTTGGTGGGTATGAGCCCCTTCTTATTCCTCGAAGTCGACGAAAGCGGTACTGGACGCGCACTTCCCACGCACTGGGGCAAGGATACCTGGCCTTCCTTTTCGCCAGACCTCAATCCAGTGGACTTCTCTGAATAGGGGTATTTGGGGAGTAAGGTCGCAGGACGCTCCTACCGCTCGTTGGACGTTTTGAAGTTGGCGATTCAGATACGTGGGATCATACGCGACCACCTGTGGCACACTGTTGATTCAGTTATCCAGCCCCTAGAAACCTGTGTAAGAGTAGAAGGGACTGCTCCGAAAGAAACAGGGCCGATAACTGTTAAGCCTGAAGTCGCATTTCACAATCTTGTGGACGGTTTGACGGCTAATGTTGAGATCGAAAGCAGTTCGATTCATGCTGACTCCATCGTTGCAGGTGATCGTCTTTTTAATGATAGCACGAATCCTCGTTGAGTTCTCTTTTGCCGGTCGTCCACTTTTTGGCATCTCAGACGCCCTAGAGAGCAGCGATATATATATATATATATATATATATATATAC